TTCCCTCCCTCCCTCCCTGCCTGGCTGGGGGATCCCGGAGGAGGGGGTAGAGGCGGGGTTCCCGCGGGGATGGGCCCCCTCCCTTGCCTGTATTTCTCCTGGGAGCGGCGAGGTCCGGCGACAATAAAGCCTCTGGAATCTGACCGGAGCGGGCAGTGGAAGCACTTTGGGCCTTTCTCTCGCCGCGTGGCAGGCCGGGAAAGGCGAGCACCTGGCCTTGGGGGCGCCTGTCCCCTTCCTCTTTTTTAAAAATATATTTTATTGATTTTTTACAGAGAGGAAGGGAGAGGGATAGAGAGTTAGAAACATCGATCAGCTGCCTCCTGCACACCTCCCACTGGGGATGTGCCGGGCAACCAAGGTACATGCCCTTGACCGGAATCGAACCTGGGACCTTTCATTCCGAAGGTCGACACCCTATCCGCCGAGCCAGACCGGTCGGGGCTGTCCTGTTCCTCTTGTACGGGTGTTATTTGAACCCCAGAACCATCAACTGAGAACCCCGATGCATCTGTGACACACGGCCCTCCACGCCTGCACACAGATGTCGGGAGCACATAAATGCACACACTGACACCTTCACTCCCATGGTATCCCGCTGCTCAGGGCCTTTGGGACCCCCGGGCCTGTCAATCACTGTCCCAGGTCTTGGTCCTGATCAGAGAAATCTGGGGAACCGCAAAGGAGCTAAAGGCTCTGACAAGTCCTGCAAGAAAGACTTCATTTAATTTTTTTTAAATAGATTTTATTGATTTTTTTACAGAGAGGAAGGAAGAGGGATAGTTAGAAACATCGATGAGAAAGAAACATCGATCAGCTGCCTCCTGCACACCCCCTACTGGGGATGTGCCCGCAACCCAGGTACAAGCCCTTGACCTGAATCGAACCTGGAACCCTCCAGTCCGAAGGCCGAGGCTTTGGTGTGTCTGCAGCTCGTTTCAGCAGGTGGCCCATGGGGCACCGCCCCACCCCCAGGGCCCTCTGTCGAGGCACAAACTTGAAGACCTACCCAGCCTGGAAGTGTAGGCTCCCCTACAGTGTTCCCTCCTCTACTCCCTGCCTGTGAGGCCAGGAGCCAGTCCCTTCCCTGCTCTGAGCCTCAGCCCCATCAGGGTCCTGACTCTGACATGATCCTAGAAACCAAGAGATCACGACGTTTTTTCTTCCCTTCCCTCAGCGGTGGCACCAACCAGCCTAAAGTGTCACCGTTGGGCCAACCAGTGACAGTCACCCCTGTTATTTCCAAAAAGGGGGAGCACCACGCCCCCTCCAGCTGGAGAGTGAGAGGGGGTGGCCTCTGGTGGGGAAGACCTTGCTCAGAATTCTTGCCCCTAAGCTCGTTTTCCAGGCTGGAGGTGGGGCAGCAGAATGTCAGAGGCAACCACGGGGCACATGAGGCAGATGCTGAGTTTCTGCCATTGCCCATGGGCAGTAAGTGGATTGGGCAGTTCACTGGCTATCCTTGCCTGGACTCTGGAGCCAGAAGGCCCAAGTTCTAGTCCTTCCTACTGGGCCGATGTGAGTGAGACGTCTCTCCTGACCCTGCACTGGTCAGCCAGACTGAGGGACACTGTGGGGCAGGGCAGGGCTGGGTATAAGCAACTCCGCGCACCCAGCATACCCTGGCACATGGGAGCCCCTCGAATGAAGCCTCGGGGATGGCTGTGTGGGGCCAGGTCGGGGACCCTGAGATGAGTCGGGTCTCGAGCTGCTGCTCTCTCTTCCTGGCAAATCCCCGGGCTTGCACAGGTCCGAGGCTTTCCCCATCACACCCTCCATCACGCTAGAAGCCTAGGAACGGAGAGCTGGGGCGCACAGAGAGGTCCGAGGTGGTGAGTGGAAGGCATTTGCAAGGAGTTTCTACCTCAGCTCGGCTGGCCTACATACAGCGTTCCGGGTTTATTCCTGACTCAGGTCTGCCTATGGGAACCCTTACCCTCCCAGGCCTGCCAAGGGCCAGCTTTTGCCTGTGCCCCCTCCCTGGCTCTCGGGGAGGAGCACCTGCTCTGAGAGCCGGGAGCCGCGGGCCAGAGGAAGCCTCAGCAGCTATTAGGGTAGAAACATTCATGGACCCAGGGAAGTGGTGGAGGAAGGGCCCAAGGCCGGAGATGACCCAGCGTGGAGCAGAAGTAGCACTGGTAGCCGCAGGGGCTTGTCAGGACTACAAATCCCAGGCGGCTGAGCGACAGGTCTACCGCCACATTTCTCGGCAGCCATTGGATGCCTCTTGCAGGTCCTGCAAGCCCCGCCCACTCCTCCCACGTGGGGATCGCCTACATTTCCCAGCAAGCTTAGGATCCCGCCCTTCGCAATGAAGACAGAGCTCAGCAGTGTCCAATCAGAGTTCAGGCCCCTTCTCCCCAACCCATCGGGGCTTGGCCTGAGGTACTATGGGAAATGTAGTCCGGTCACGCGTTAACCGGTAGAAAAACCCAAAGCCTCAAGAGTCTGACTGTAACTAGCGCTCAGATCTTTCCTACAAGCTTTTTTCTTTTTTTTTCTCAAAATACGGGTGGATTTCCATGGGTGGGTCATAACCATTTTTTAAAAAAATATATTTTATTGATTTTTTACAGAGAGGAAGGGAGAGGGATAGAGAGTTAGAAACATCGATCAGCTGCCTCTTGCACACCCCCTACTGGGGATGTGCCCGAAACCAAGGTACATGCCCTTGACCGGAATCGAACCTGGGACCCTTGAGTCTGCAGGCCGACGCTCTATCCACTGAGCCAAACCTGTTAGGGCAACCATTTTTAAAATAAGTGAAATAGGTTCAAGGAAAATGGTTAGAAACAGTTATGAGCCCCCGCCAGGATGGCTCAGTGGTTGAGCATCACCTATGAACCAGGAGGTCATGGTTCGATTCCCTCAGGGCACATGCCTGGGTTGCAGGCTCCATGCCCAGTAGGGGGCCTGCAGGAGGCAGCCAATTAATGATTCTCTCTCGCCCAAATAATAAAAATAAAGGCAAACGTATTACAAATATTCGCTCCTGTCTCTCTGTTCCTGTGTTGTTGCCATGATGTGGTGTTCTCTGGGGCAGACACTACAGCGAATTCGCTTTGTTCTGGCTGAGGTTTGTGGTTTGTGCATTTCACAGATGAGCATCTGTGTTTCCATGTTCTGCTATTTTTTTCAAATATATTTTTATTGGTTTCAGAGAGGAAGGGAGAGAGAGAGAGAGAGAAACATCAATGATGAGAGAGAATCATGGATCCGCTGCCTCCTGCACGCCCCCCACTGGGGATCGAGCCTGCGACCCGGGCATGTGCCCTGACCGGGAATCGAACCGCAACCTCCTGGTTCACAGGCCGACGCTCAACCACTGAGCCACGCGGGCCCTGCCTACCTCGGATTCTTACTGGGCCAGATAAGGACTGAAAACCCTCTCTAATGAAATTTCTCTAAGAACCCAGGCGGGCGACTCACTCCTCCCGTCATCAGACAAGGCCCCTCGCGGGCATGGATCGCGGCCTGTGCACCCGGTCCCGTGCGGAGCCTCATCAACGCACGGGCTCCCCAAAGAGGCCTCGCACAATGACGCCCATTGTACAGATGAGCCCACTGAGGCTCGGAGAGGGAAGGCCACTTCCCAAAGATCACACAGCGAGTAACTGATAGTCGGGACTTGAATGGTCTTACCCCGCTAGCCCATCAGTCCTGGTTAGTGAAGGCCTGTCAGGTGGGCCGCACGGTTCGAGGCACTGGCGTCAGAAAGAGGGAGGGGAGGCGAGCCTACATTTGAGGGGGGAAGAGGGGGCCGACGTTTCCAAAGTTGGGGTGACTTTCCAGGGCGAGGGGCTGGGTTGCCAGGGGGCAG